CGCAACGCTAAAGAAGACGGAGTCCCAGTAACCACTTCAGTAACCACAGGTACCCAGTTAATAACATTAAAAGTTACTTGTGCTGCTTTGTCCCCTTCCCCCCAGTTTTGTTTTGAAATTATTCAAATAGAGATCATAAAGGCAACAGCTAAATCAGACTCTGGAGACTTGAGAAAGCTCAAGTCACGCACTCATAGCCCCCCCCAGAGAAGAGGGAAAATACTTACAGAGGAGAGGAAGTGTGATCCCAAACATGAACACCATGACATCTCCCAGGTAGGAGATCAAGAAGTAGCTAGACAGCATGATGACCACCACAAACGTGGTTGGGTACTGCTTCTTCAGCCTGCGGAGTATGTCCTTGTTGTGCGACACCCACACAAAGCCCATGAACACCAGCACCACCACAGTGCCACCAATGAGCATGTTCAGGGGACTCAGAAATCTGGAGAGAAGAGAGGGGGGAAAAAAAAAAAGAAAAGTGCCCTGTTTCAGAGCTTTCATGACTTGTGTCCATATAGGAAAGATCTAGCTCATGTTAGTAGGGAGGTAAGGCATTAAGAAGGCAGTTGTTGCTGTCAAGACCTTCATTGACCTCTGATTTTTGGGCAAAAGCTAAGTTAAGCAACAAGTGCAACTGAACAAGCCTTTAGCAGTGAATGTGTCTTTATTGTTCTTTTCCTGAGTGTAGCTCAGGATAATGAAAGTTTCTGCAGTACCTCACAACAGAAGCACTTATCACCAGGACCCTTCCTACCTGTGCAATCAACACATTCACTTGGTATCAGACCCTGAGTTATCAAATCCCAAAAGCAGATGGAGCCAAGAATCAGCTGTCCAAGGGAAACCCTACACATGACCAAAACCGGGCTCAGCCTAGGCCTTCAGATGAGCTAGCTTTTCCCATTATCTTGTTCATGTTTGCACAATGGGAAAGGTAGGGGAACAGTGAGTAAAGGAGGCTACCTCACTAGTTCTTACTTCTGAATAAACCTTCTTATTGTTTTATACCCAAATTAAT